ACAAAGGAAACCTTCCAATAACTAAATGCTACTATGATTACATACCTCCACCATGAAACTGGCTTCCAGCTTGACAAAAATTCCTTGCTGCAAAAACTGAAATGAGGCACTCTAGTTATTTATTCTTCTCAACTTTTCCTCCAGTCTTACCCGCTGAAGCAGAGGAGTCAGTGCCAACACTGGCTGCAACAGATCAAGCAGGTTCAGGCACTAAAGAGATGGCACTACACAAATTAGTCAAATCAATACACACTGGGAGAAAGTCTTGTCTCCTTTATTTTCATTTATAGAAAAGTATGAATATAAATCAGCAATATATAAAGAAAATATTTCAAATATTTTCCAGTTGAAAATCCAAGGCTGCAGCTAGTCCTCCTGGTGCAGCTGGGATGACCTACATAGAGCCCCCCAGGACTGCATTGCATTTTGGGGCAACTCACAGATGCTCCTTGAAACCTGAAGTCCAAGGGCCCATTTATCCACAGTACCTTCTATTCTCACAGATTCTAACAGTCTCACTTCTAAGTTTTGCCATTATCTCAGCAGTGCAAGATTAACTCTTTGTAAGACTGAGGATTGATATGAGATGATGAGACCAGGGAGGGTGAAAACCAAAGGAGAGCGTATGTAAGCACAAGCAGGAGGCATCCACAAAGAAGTGCTGCTGCCATGAAAAGAAGTCACTTGAGTTAATTTATTTTGCATTGTTGATTCTTCATTAAGACTTTAGCAAAATAATAATTAAACTTGGATTCATAAGGTCTTTTTTCTCTGATTTCTTATTTGGTGAATTCTCATTCCTCCCAGGAAAGTCATCAGGGTCAGACAGGCCACTCTGAGTGATGGATGGACAGAAAGAGTTTGGCACTTCACAGACAGCCTGATTTCTTTGGAAACTGAGGAGTGCACAAAAACAGAGAGGATTCAGGATGTCCCAGTACGGACAGCAAGCTCTTGAAAGCAAGTGGCATAGCCTCTGACACAGAGAAGTCCCTGTTTTGGTTGTGGTTCTTCCTGCTGCTGCACGCTGGTGCCAGACAAGCCGTCACAGCATTCACTGGCTGGAACTGTCAGGAGAAGTTAGATGAACAAGAAGCTGTGAACAGAAGGACAGGAGCAAGTGTCCAGCTGGCGAATTCTCTTCCAGGTTCCCTTGCATCGAGGGTTCCCTACTGCCTGCCAGTGCAACAGCTGATTCCTGAAACACAGGCATAAGTGAAAGAAAGTTAACGTGCTGCACCTCTGCTGCAGGGCAGTCACTAGTACACAGACTTAGCTACATCACCCAGTAAAGCCCACTTAGTTTGCTGCCATCAATCTTCACTTCAGGGACCAAATTCTGCCCTTCTACTGCTGTAAGGAAGCAGTAACCACAATGACCCCTCATAGGGTTATAACAGTGTGAAGTAAAGCTACAGTCAGTCAGGAACACTGGACTGGAAGAATCCACAGCAGCACATACTGTAGATATTAAGTCCAAAAGGAATCACAGCAACATTCCACCAAGGTGCCCAGCATCACATGCAACAACTCAAAGCACACCAACATCCCCACAACTCCTGTACTGAAACACTGGATGGGTTGCAAAGCAGGGAAAACACCTTCTTCTCCATTTTTCTTTGTAACACACCATGCTCCCCCTCGGCAGGCAGAGCTCTATGGCCACCCACAGCCACCGAGATGCTGAGTACCCAGCACGTGTCTGCGTGGGCAAGCACAGGGACAGGAGCATCTCTGGATAACTATGACAGTGACACACTTGCCTGAGCTCTTCCACCTTCCTGAGAGCACTAACACAGCTTCTGGATGGCAGCTGGCTGGAGGTACCAGACCCACAAGCATTGGAACAATGTTACTCAAGGCCAAAAAACCAACCAACCAACACCTCTTCTCCAAGGCAGTCCATAAACACATTGACCAGAACTGAACAGAGAAACATCCCATTGAAACAACCAAGCAGATCCACAGGCCACTGCTCACAATCAGTGGCTGCACAAGCAGTGCTGGCCTAAAGGTCACAGAAACTGAAGTTTTGCTATAGCACTGTGTCCCTTCCCAAACTTTAGCATTTAGTGGTACACATCAGTGTGTCCCAGCCCTGACCTTTGGAAAAGCCCAAATACCACAACACGATCGACTCTTGCCCTGTGCAGAGAGCTGCCCACAGAAAAACCCAACACACGCCTAACTTCTGCTTGTTTTATAGTTCTATGAAAAACTTTAGCTCCACAAAGATAACCCTACTGTTGCCTTAATGACATGTCATGCTCTAGAGCAGGGTTTTATGCATCACACGTGGCTGGAAAAGGCTCACTGTATTTTTCTTCTGGCTTGGGGTCATTTCAAAATACCAGAATGTGCCCATGGAGGATTAAGATCCCAGGAAATGCAGGCTGCACACTGAGAAGTCCCATACACTTCACAACTCCGGGCTGCAGCTTTACCTTTAAAAGTCTTTATCCCTAAACACACAAGCTAAACTTGCTTACTCTCATCTTGCTGGTGGGGAAGGCAAACACTGGCTTCGCTATAGATCAAGTCCATCCATCCTCTCTCCTTCTGCCCCATGAGCATGGGCATAAACTGCTGCAGTCTGGACATTTATGTGCTACAACGCCCACATCTTGCTCCAGATGATGAAGAGCAGCTGATCCTCCTAGACACAGGCTGAGTAACAATTTCACAGATGTCAAGTCTGTGCTTTATTTGTAGATCTTTCAGAAGACGATCCAAAATTAACAGATCAATTTCCCGGCTCGATGCTCTGCCTCGTTTACCTCTTAACCTTCTAGGAGAAAGAAGCCAATGCAAGTTAGATTATCCTAGCTATCCTCATCTGATGGCCACAGATCTGGCCATAAATCAAGGACTTTGGGAAGCCTCCTGAGCTTGCATAACAGGGGTTAAATGAAATAGCATCTTCTACAGAGTGGGAGACAGGTGGAAGGCACAGATAACAAGCACCTCTCTTTAACTTGAAGCATTTACAAGCCAGACTCCACTTAGACACATGGATAATTAGGAAATACTCATCAAAATATACCAGCATTGCTGAGTTTATTTTAAACTCTGTCAGATGTTTTCCTTCCTGAGAGTCACTCTTGGAACAATATCTCGGGGAACTAAGCGCTGGCACAAGCTGCCAAACTGACAGGGCGAGAAGCAAAGCGCAGGCAAGGCGTGGGTGGCACAGCAGCAGCTCTGCATGTCACCTGCAGAGCCTCAGCCAGCAGCCCCAGAGACCAGGGCCAGCGTGCCATGGCACAGGTCAGCCAGTGCCACCGCTGCTCAGGGCTCACCACGAACTGTCCACAGCTCCCAGCAGGGTTATGCTGGTAAAAATCCAAAATGAGGGTGAACTGAGCATACTGCCAGACTTCTGAGCAGATCCAGGCAAAGTCAACATATGCTGCATCCTAGCATCAGCATTGGCCTCCCATCATCCTCCTTCTCAAGGCAGCAGTTGCCTTCCCACCTTCTTCCACCTCTCTTTACAAGCATGACATTTATGCCCTCCACATCTGGCCAGCACACCCCAGCCTGGGGAGCTCACCACGTGACCCCTCAGAACACTGCTCCCTTGTGAGCCTCCACGCTCAGATACCGCCACTTACTCTAACAGAAGGCAGAAGCCTTTTCAACAGGCATTTCCCTCATCCCAATCAATGGCTGTGACCACCAACAGTCCAATTTCTTCTCAGAGATCAAGTTTTTCCTCCATGCAACCTGGTAAAAAAAGTATATTATTTCTGGAAACAAATTAGGGGATATCTCTTCATATAAAAATACCTGGAATAAATACTTGCACTTGAGATGGTGATAATGAACTAGGTAACCAGCCCTGGACAACAATCTCCTTGACCCACCACTGTAAGGTCAAGTAGTGACAAAGAACACTAGACCGTGCTCTGGAGGGTCACTTATCTAGGGGATACGTGGCAGTTATTTAAAAGGTCCCCATGAAATATAAGGGAGGCTTCACACGCACACACAGAGGATGAGGAAGGGGCAGACCAGAGACATCATTCATCTTCCACCTGCTAGTCACACATTCATCTCTGACAGAGCTGCCCAGTACTACTGGTTCAAGGAGACAAAGTGCATCTCCATTGCCTTTTGCAGATAGGAGCTCTTTCCACTGCTCAGGCCAGCCCTACCTGTCCCACCAGCCTAGGTTGCTACCCTGGCAATGAAACCAAGTACTGTGCATGTTGCACAGGATCTCAGTTCAGCACACACAGAGAGCTCATACCTGCCTAGAAGATGCCACAGGCACAACTTCATTTGACACCAGAGGCAGTAATGCCAGAGGGGTAAAAGCTCACTGTGCTAAACAGGAGAGCCATCAGGAAGCCAACATGTCTACAATGGAATGGACCCACAAGATCATCTTACAGTCCTCCTGCAAGACTCTGTGAACAATTTCTAGGCTCTGCTCTGCTGGCATGGATCTAAAACATCTGCTGAGATATGGGTTGAGTCCTGAGTTCTGTGAAGCAGTGGCCATTCACCCCAGCTCCATTATCACCACCCCTCTCCAGCCTTCAGCCTGCCAACACCTGACAACCTGTCATTACTCCTACAGGACAGAGTCCCGTTTTCTTTGTGCTTCCCCTCCATGTACAGCACTGTTCAGGTGAATGAAAACATTCCCTTCTTTCTGCAGTCCACGGGGAAATGAATTCCTGAATATATTTTTTAGATTGCTTAACCTGATGTTCCTGCCTGGCTCCAGGGCTCTAGTAAAATAACATTATTATAAGCTTTTATAATCATTTACATGTTGAATTCAGGTAACAGCCACTCCTGACCACACCAGTTAGGATTTTTTTTCTTCTTTATGTAAAAGGTTTTGGAACCTTTGTACATAACAAGCTGAGGCAGGGAAGGAAAAGACTCTAACTTGACTTCCTCTCACTAAAAGCCTAAGAAAAACCCCTGCCTAAAGAGGCCATTATTGGCAGTCTTGATAGTGCAATACATTGCGTGCTTGAGGCCTGATAATCCTCAATTATAGTTTCTAATTCAAATGAATGTGCTTATTTCAACATTTATGTAAGTTTTTTAAATACCTCTGCCCAGAACTGATGGGCAATGATCTTCCCCAAAAAGGCTGCTAACCAGCTTCAGAGGATGCCTTAATAAACTGACAATGGGGTTAAGAGTATCAGGATAAAAGCAGTGCAGAGGCCGTGCCTCCAGGGAGCACAGGAGAGCCTTGGGAGCCAGGAATCCTCTCTTGCTGGCTCTGCCACCGATGTGTTTTACTGCTTCAAGCCATTCCCTTCACCTTTGCTGGAGTCTGCCTGATTTGTACAAACTGGGTAGTCCCCATCAATCACCCCAAAGCTTCTTCAGCTTTCATGGGAAAGGATGCTGAAAGTGCAAAGATTTAACAGTACTTCCATCCAACCTCAGGTGCCAGCACATAATCCAAACCCCTAAGCCAGCTGCCACTCACCAGAAACACTTAAGAAGAGTCACTTATAGAGAAAAAATCCCCAGTGCTTAAAAATCAGAAATAAATTTGGGGTTATTTGACATCTGACAGGACTGTTAATCTTAGAAGCATGGCTGGAGCATCTTTAAAACAAAAAACACTCCACAACTGCACCACTTAAAAGTCAGTGAGCTTCAGCAGACTGTGTGCAAGTGCTCCCACACTTCAGTCCTGGCTCTGCCACTGGCTTAATATGTGAGCTTCACCAGGTCATTTCAACTCTGCAACAAGCTCATGGTATGCAGCAAAGGCCAGTTAATACATGTGGAGTGCTCCAGAGAGCTGCATGCAGTGCATTATGAAACTGGGACAAGCAGATCAAGGGAGAAGACTGAAAAATTCAATGTGAAAACAAAAGCCAAAGCTCTTACTTTTTGCTTCCACTGCCATCCCCATAGCAGTGTAGACTTCTGGAGTCTAAAGCTGGGTGCTGACACTCCACGCAGACCGTGTGGCCCTCCCTGAGGTACCGCATCCAGTGAGTGTACCAGTGGTGGCTCTGCAGGCAGCCCGGCGTGATGTCCACCAGCTGGAATTCAACACAGTACCTGCAACCAGAACAACCCAGCAGGTTAGCTCAAGAGCCAGATTAGAGCCCTCCACAGGACTGGAAGAGCCAGACTAAACTGGGTGACCACAGAATGCTAATTAAGAACAAACCAAAACTTCACACCACAAAAAAATCCCCACTGATAAAAGCCAAAACATGTGATATGCCTGCAGTTTGACAAGGTTAAATGGAAAATAAAACTACTCTGGTAGTTTTAATCCTATGCTACTACTAATATTTTCAATTGTCATATCAAAAAGAAATCAGGTATTTTGGCATCTGTCTTTAAAAACAGAGATACAGATCAGTCAAATATTTGACTGAAGCAAAAAAACCCCAAACAGCCAGATCTTCTCATTCCAGTCTGGTGCCCACTTGCTGAACCACACTTCCTCTATTATCTACTCTCAGTTAGTTGTAACGGGTTTTGTAGAGCAACTTGCAACAGGAGCTAAGATTTGGTCTGTTAAGATAATACTCCTCTTAATGATCTCCCTCTTAAGAGACAGAGTGAGGTTGTCATATCTCAGTGGGAAGACTACCAGACTGACACAGCACATCTGCCCTGCTCAGACTTTAACTTCCGATTTTAACTGAACCTGAGAGCAACACCCAAAAGAACTGCCCTTGTATGGAGTGGAAAACCAAGGAAATTCTGTAATAAACAGAGCTGAGAACTGGGTTCTAGCCTAGGCTGGTTCTCTATCAGTCACCACGGGGATTCCCAACCACCATCAAGTAGCACACTGAACCAGGGGAGCAGTTTGCTTCCTTGCCACATCTGAGGGAAAGAGAAAGAGAGCAAAGATAAATAAACATGCAATAGAGCTGTGTTCCCATTTTTTAACTTTACAGGTAGAAGACTCAACTAATGAGAAGACCAAGGGAGGCTCAGGGTGAAGAGACACTAAAGTGAGGTGGATGGATACACCCATACACCATGGAAATACCAACATGTACAATGGCATGTAGGG